GTTGGGCTTGGAACTGATGAACTGCTGCAATAGGCATAACAGGCCAACACCTTAACAACCATCCAATAAGATAATAGATGTCTCCAAGAAAGTGAGCAGACACCCGGTGTACGTACTCACCATAAGGAGTTCCCCATTCTATCGTTCAAAGCATTAATCTGAAATAAAAATGAGTATACTAGAAGTAAAATTGATATGCATATTAGTGAATTTCTCTCCAGACATAGACATTTAGAATTAGAATAAAAAATTATGGTGGAATTAAGGAGAAAAACTTCATAGGATTGAAGAGAGTACATTGAGGCTATACTGCAAAACACCATATTGTACACATCCATTGCTTAGAGGGCTGCTCACTAATTCCTGGTCATGTGTCCCAAATATTTCAATCAAACGGAAATGTCCTGTGGAGCCATGGTCAAGCCAAACCTATGCTCAACACACATACGGGGATCTGTGCCTGGCGCCGTGGCGCGTATAGGGAAGCATGGCGGGAATCATCAACTGATGGTTAGAAGGCCTACACCGCTAATTAAACCTACTGCAGGCCAACACCGTTGGGAATAAAATATCCGACTTGATTCAGATAGTAACACTTATGCTGTGTCCCATGCACCAGCAGTGTTCACATTAGTGTATTGCCTCGTTTTGTAGTCAGCTGTGGCCATATAATTGGGAAGTGCTAATAAGCTGAATCAGCATGATTTACCACTAAGCTGTCAAAGTCACTTGTCTCACTGTACTGTCGATGTGGCATATAATATTTTTCCCCAGCGTCGCAAATCTTTCTATAGCACCATATGGTTATACAAAAAGTTGTGCAGTGTGTTCAGTTTTACAGCATCAGATATCCTCGAAAAAGGTCACCTTGTCTAATGAGTAATGACCGATGCGTTAGTATTCTTCTTCTTTTTCATTGCAAATCATTCCGGACTGCCATACAAAAAGTTGTGCAGTGTGTTGGTTCAGATTGTCATCATCAGTTATCCTTGGAAAAAATAGTTGTTTTTCATCAGCTTGAGTCGGACCAGCTTTTCATTTAGAAATGCAGGGCAAAACTGAATTTCAGTCAACAAAACACCAGCTTGGTTTTCAATATAACTCTTTTTATGCCAGGGCTGTCGCCTGTAACAAACATGATATCCTCCTTGGACAAAGTCAACAAAACAATGGTTATACAGATCAGATGGGACGACTAGGAGGTACTGGCATATTCCCACACCACAACTGAACAAGCTAAACCTGAAATTTTCAGCATGGTGGCCACTGGCCAGGCACCTTGGGCCTGGAAAACTTGGTGAGAGAAGACGAACAGAACAGTGCCGATCTGACAGGCCTGACCAGAACATGATTATGTTTTAATCGTGCTGGGACATCAGGTTAAATAAAAAAAGGAGGCAGGAAAGGCCTACGACTACGAGCAACCTGACGGAGATTTTGATTCAGGCAAACGGTGCAAGCTGCTCTTGCTGGGCTAGATGTGATTCTTCCGCTCCAACCCCACGTCGTCGGTCGCGCTCGCTGCCGTGCGGATGAGATGGATCTTAAACTGGGGCGCGATATCATATACTCCCTCCGTCCGGAAATACTTGTCGGAGAAATGCCTAAAAATGAATCTAAATATATTAATTCTTCCGACGAGTATTTTCGGACGGAGGGAGTATATTAAAGATAGGGGTAAAGAGCCCAGTCCGACGACGTGTGTATTCGAGAAAAAAAAATTGACACAGAAGGATGTACACATCTACTCTTTTGTGAACCTGAGCTTAACTAATAACTAGGCAGATCTCTAACAGGTGATTCAAAACTAGAAATGTTTGTGTATGCGTGTGCAAGCTAATGATTTTATTCCTTTCACTGCAAAGTTTAAGTCTTTACTTTACACTCGATCAACAATTTTTAAACTGGATGTTTGTGTGGGGCTTCATTCAGTTTTAAGATTTGTGTGCATGTTCTTCTCATACATCTATGAGAAGATATCTGAAGCTATGTTTGTCCTAATTGGGTAGGTAATTGGTTCTCTTTAGCTATTTCTAGCATGCAAAAGAATGATTGAAGGGTTAACTCCGTTGCATTTGTTCACTCAGAGGAGGCAGCTGATAGGTAGGGATGCAGAGGAAGCAATTGTTTATTGAAGGGTTCTTCTTTCTGTCAGGTGCTTACTTTTCTTGTGATTTCCTGCCCCTTGTTTATTGCGTGCATTTCATTTGGTGGGTGGATTAGTATTACTACTTGCTGAAATTCGTATATATGGTCTATATTTACAAAGGAAATGTGACAGTGGAAGCAACATGTCAACACAGATATGTGTTCTCTTTGGTTCTACTCCCTCCGCTCTGAATTACTTGTTTTGGATTTGTCTAGATACAGATGTATCTAGACCCATTTTAGTGCTAGGTACATCCGTATCTAGATAAATCTAAGACAAGTAATTCGGAACGGAGGGAGTATTAATTTGAGGTCAAGGCATATTTTCTATGCTTATAGAGCGTCACATTTCTGTTGCTAAATACATATAATCTGTCTATAGGGGAAGCCATTCTGATATTGTTTGTTGGAACAATGGTAAATCAATATGCAGGTGCAGATATGCGATTACCATGTCTCATAAAACTTTGAGCAAATTATCTAACCAAGTATCTCCAAAATATGCAGGTACAATGTCTTTGTACTATTTTGGAACGGAGGGAGTACATGTGTAACAGATACTCCCTCCGTAAACTAATATAAGAGCGTTTAGATCACTAAAATAGTTATCTAAACGCTCTTATATTAGTTTACAGAGGGAGTACATAATATCAGTCCACGCAAAAGAAATAGAAGCCGGGAATGAAACAGAACTAAGATATTCTAGGTTCTTTACTCTCCACGCCAGTAGCAGGTGACACAACAGACAAAAATGTTCGTAGAACCCCACAGTCTTCTTAGTATGCTCTACATGAGAGTTCATCACTGGAACCAAAAAAGGGCAGCCCGGTGCATGTAGCTCCCGCTTGCGCAGGGTCCGGGGAAGGGTCCGACCACTTTGGGTCTATAGTACGCAGCCTTTCCCTACATTTCTGTAAGAGGCTGTTTCCAGGACTTGAACCCGTGACCTCTTGGTCACAAGGCAGCAGCTTTACCACTGCGCCAAGGCTCCCCTTCAGAGTTCATCACTGGAACCAAAACAGAACAATATACACTGCATTTGTTTGCTTTTCTTTATTCATACAGCAGTATGCTAAATAAGTTTCAGCCTTTGGAGGACGCATCCACTTCAAATAGCAAGAAAAGGTAGGTGGTCCACAATGCACCTACAGGTTCCAAATCAATGAAAAGGTTAGCCCATTAATATTGTTTAACTACGTACAGATCCTCCACAAGAGAGTTGTTCCCTTGAGAGAGCAGTGAAGAAAAAAGAAGCCAATGTTCAGAGCCAGTAAAACCTGTTCTGTAAATATGTATAAGTTGCTTTTAAGCTCAGTACTTTGTCTCTTTGTAGCCTTTCAGATAGCGGTCGTTTTAGTTGTAATAGTATTCCTGTGCTCATGTCTCAGGTTGATGTATCCACTGTTTATCTCATACTCTTTTGCATTCTTCCAAGTCATAATATGGGTGCAAAAATTCATTAGACAAAAGGAAGCATATGTTAATTCGTGAACAGGCGGTAGCAATGATCTAACTATATGCTTCATTCCGCCCTTCACTTTTGCACCATAGTATTCTAAGCCCGATTCAGATGTCTACAACACATTAGTGTAGAAACTAGAAACACAAACTCACCTGCACATGTTATGGCTAATGATGCAAAAGGAACATCAGTTACAGCCATTCCCTAGATGGCTGGTCCAAGATAAAACACATGCTTAATATTTTGGTCATACAAATCAACTATACGACCCCTTGCGAAATACACAAATATGCAGTTTTGTTAGCTCTAGGTAGTGTTAATGCTTGACAAACTCTTTCTTGCGAATTTTTTTTGCAGGTCTCTTTTGCTTATGCATGAAACTTGGATGATGCTATACGACAAAGCACGATGGTCGGAAGCAAACCATCCAGGCATGACGGCCAAGAGAAAATCATCCAATGTGCTAACAAGCAACAAACTATTCCACCAACCTTTTCTCTTTATCTACATACATAAACCATTTAGCTAGACAGTGTACTACCTTAAACCAGTGCCCACCCATTGTACCATTTCATAACAAATTAAGCTAGAAATTGGCAAAATGACGGGGTCACGGGCACGGCGTGCCGCCGTGCCTTTGGCTGCTAGTAATCACATATATTGTGCTCATTTTCCAATGCGTTGTAGGACCCGATTAACGTACCGTGTTTGTTGGCTTAATCATTCTAACATGTTCACACTTAGATGCAGCTTCATTATAAATTTGACATTTAATTCACATCACACTAAGTTCTGGTGCAAGAGTCATCTGCGAGGACAATGGTAAAGCTCACATATCTCAAGTACCCCATGTCTAAATTCACAATATTATGGCCTCACACGAAGTGGATAATAAGTTGAAAATAGGAAAACACATGGTTCTCATGTCATATGTTATGCTCCTAAAGATCTCAACATTCAAGAAGATGGTTATTAGCTTTGGATGGTTTAATGGCACAGTTTGCGATGTCTTGACATAAATGAAGGATGGCAATCTGTCATTGTCACAATGTTACTTCTCCATTTAACAATGATCGTGTTTCACACATTTAGCTTATAATTTAATCAAATTACATATGTTCAGTTGGTATCCATGTTTTACTACTTTCTGTTGGTGTATTGATCATATTGACAAAATAAATAAAGGTACTTAAGAATAAAGAAACAATACAAAAGCAAAGTTTGTTGAGCAGGCTCTGATCAAAGTACAATCTTGCAAATTATTAACAGCTTCCAGTATTTTACGAATTTTAAGGAAAAAACTAGCCCGTGCAGGCTGATGACTAGTGGAACATTAAAAGGAAACAAACATTGTAGCAAGAAGAAAAAAGAATTATTAATCTCACATACCTCATGCAGCCTCTTTTTTGGATAGCATATACTTGCTACAAAGAAAAAGAAAAATTAATATCACAAAAAGTTAAATGGAGAAAAAATCGAAATATGTATGAGATGTTAGATCTTAGAAGACTTACGTCTCTCTGTCGGGCATCATACCCACCATCTCAAAACAGGCTTTTCTATGTCTTTGTTGAAGGACCTTGTCAACGCAAACACGTCTATTCTGTAAAAAGCATTAACTAGTTATCATCCATATATCTTATCAGAATTTTTTAGCTGTATATTATAGGAATTGTTGTACAGTAAAACATGCATGCATGCCTGAACGACAGGAAGCTCAAACTCATGGCTGTATAACCCGCTGCAGAACGAACAAAATCCCGTCTTCTTAGATCCATCGTATGCGTGCTTCTTATGGAGTGCGCGGTACTGATTCATGTCTTGAAGGAGCCCAGAATATGGATCAGTATCCCATGGTATAGTACAGAGAGTTGACGAAGCTTCAACATCCTTCTTGAAATCTGAGCTCCTTAAGGCGAAAGGCAGATCACATACGAAAAACCTTTTCCTCTGATAGGAGCCCCAAAAGAAGCTATGTTTCTTGATGTCTTTCATAACAGTAACCAAGTCCCCTCTACAAAACAAATACCTATCAATACATTGTGGTACAAAATTAACAAATTTGGCAAAATGTATGAGGTAATTACAATGAAACTTCTTTCAGCTTCTTTGAAAGATCAGCAACAAGATAACAGTCCAAAGGTACCCGTCCTGTCCTAGTACACTCTTCAGCGATAACGCAAATCTCATCAAGAGCACGAGCAATATCCCAAACATCTTCTAACTGGCATTGCCGCAATTTTGCTTCTGAAATAATCAATAAATTTCATAGATTTAGCTGCAGCTCTGATGTTTCCTGATTATATTTAATATGATATAAGCACATCATAAAGAAAAACATGTGATAGCAGCATGTACACGTTGCTGACAAAAGTTTATCCTTCATTCTAAATCAGTCAACCAGATATACAGAATTCAAAAATAAAAGGTAGCCTCAATTATATCATTATGTTCTTATTTACAAAAAAGGTATTTATTGCATTTTACACCTATCAATGGATTTCACTATGAATATTTCTGATCCGCACCACCTGAAAGTATGCGTGCAATTCCAAGATTCCATGGCCAAGCCACTTTACGACAATAACAACAAAGCCTTTTGTCCAATGTTCAAGAAAGCGTTGCGCTTAAGCGCTAAGCGACAGCTAAATGCTTCGCTTCTGCCCTAGGCGGAAGTTTTAGCGTTAAGCGAAAAAAAAAACGGGATCTAGCGGCCGCTTTAACGCTGAGCGCTGGCTAAGCAATCGCTGTGCACGCTTAAGCGTTCAAAAAGCGAGGAATGAGCCATGGGCTGGAGGTAAAAGGGGGGCCTAAAGGCCTGGCCCAATACTGGCCTGTTCGGCTAGGGTTTACTAGGTTAGAAGGGGAGGGGGAAAAGAGCTCCAGTGGTGGCTGCTCCTATTCTGCATCCAACTCAGCTCCATGCATTCTTGCTCCTCGTCCCCGGACTGGATCTGAACGCCGGCAGCTCCTCCTCATCCTCCTGATGGTCCACCCCAACAAGTTCAGGTGAGGATCTCGTCCTCTCCTCTCCTCTCCTCCTCTCCTCCCATCCTCCTCTGATCCATCATTCATAGATCCATCATCCATAGATCCTCTCATCTTTACTCTCTGCTGCTGTTATTCCTCTTCCATAAGTAGGCATGCAGCACTGCAGCAGCATTTTGCCTTTGCTTTGCTGTTCACTTTCAGTTCATCAGTTGTTTGCTTCATATTGCTTCCATTCATTGGTCCTTGTTAATTTCAACAGCAGGCAGCAGCAGTTTAGTGGTCTAGTTCTGTTCTAGTATGGAGTCAGGAGGAGGAGATGATGCTAGTGCAGCAGCAACAGCAGCAGAACAGAGAGCAAAGATTCTCAAGAGGAATTTAGATGATATGGGTTGGGCCTATGGTCAGCTGGTTGATCCTGACAACCTTACAGAGAGTGAGGTGCAATTTCTGCAGTCAGATTTTCACGGGAGGTATTTACCGTCTGAAGCAACACATTGCGGCAAACTCAAATGTGAGGACCTGCCTGCGGTGCCCAGAAGAAGCTAAAGAAGCTTGCTTAAAAGCTTTTGAAGAAAAGGCAGCAAAGAAGCATGAGCACGAGAAGGCTGTGAGAGATGCTGTTGTTATTGATGCATCACCCACTCCTCAAGGTCAAGCTCGAGATGATGATGAACTCACTTGTGTGTGTTAGGCCCTATAGATAAGTGGACACGTACCATTGACTCTCAAGTTATCCGGAGAAGCGACTCAAGCAAATGAAGATTAACAAGGTAGCATGGGAGGAGAGATCACTTCGAGCACATGAGTACATTGCAAGATGGGTGTATACACATGGTAAGAGCTTGCTGCCCTGTTTTTTGCCAATTGAATTGTAGATTGTTTGCTGCCCTCCTATGCTAAGATGTGTCTCTCTTATATGCAATGCAGCAATACCATTCAATGCAATTGACAATGATGAGTTTAGGCAGATGGTTCAGGCCATTGGTCAATTTGGTGCAGATCTAGATCCACCTAGTCAATATGATCTCCAGGAGACTTTGCTGAAGTCTGAGTATGCAAGAACCAAGAGTGAACTCAAGGACCGAGAGGTTGAGAAGGGCAAGCATGGTTGCTCTCTCATGACTGACGCTTGGACTGACATGAAGAGAAGAAGCATTATGAATCTGGTCACACATTGCTCGGAAAGTGTTAGCTTCCTCAAGTCAAAGGAAACATCAGACACACCGCATACAAGTGAGATGATCTTCAATCTAGTTGACAAGACAATTGAAGAATTAGGTGCTGAACATGTGGTGCAGGTTGTGACTGACAATGCTTCGAACAACATGGGAGCAAAGGATCTCTTGAACGTGAAGAGGGCGAAGATATTTCGGAGCTCGTGTGCGACTCACACTGTCAATATGATGCTCCAAGGGATTGGCAACTTACCTAAGTTCAAGAAGATAATTGATCAAGCCAAGGCTTTCACAATATTTGTGTATGGGCACCATCGCACCTTAGAGTGCATGAGATCCTTCACCAAGAAGAGAGAAATCATAAGGCCGGGAGTAACTAGATTTGCTTCCCAATTCCTCACTTTGCAAAGCCTTGCAGACAAGGTTGATTCACTAAGATAGATGGTGGTATCCTCTAAGTGGGACAAGATCAAGGATGTGCACTCAAAGAAAGGCAAGGATGCTACAGCCATAATTCTCAACAAGCCCTTTTGGAAGGGTGTGAATCTTTGCATCAAGGTGTTCGAGCCGTTGGTGAAGGTCCTCCGGTTGGTTGATGGTGATGCATGGCCCTCAATGGGCTTTGTGTATGGAGAGATTGTGAAGGCAAAGAAAGAAATCAAAGAGGCCTTTGGTAATGTCGAGGCGCGCTACAAAGATGTGTTAGCTATAGTTGAAAAGAAGATGAAAGATAGGCTTGATGCCCCACTGCAGTTGACTGCATATTTGCCGAATCCACACTATAGTTATGCACATGACAGCATACTTGATTCTGTTGACATCAATCCAGCCTTTTATTCTTGTGTGGAGACATTCTATCATGGTGATGAAAACATGCAAGACAAAGTTGTGAACTATGAAATAGGCAAGTTCCAAAGCAGAGATGGATCCTTTGCAAAGAAGCTTGCTAGGACTTGCCAAAACTTTGACTACAATCCTGGTTAGTCATTACTTGCAAAACTTTCACTTAGCTGCATATTTTGTCCAGTACTCAAGTTCCTATAGTATTATTAGTTCCTGACTATTTAAAAAATCCTCTTCCTAGTGGCTTGGTGGAGAATGTATGGAGGTGAGACACCAGGGCTGAAGGACATGGCTATGAAGATCCTTTCTTTGACCACAAGTTCTTCCGGCTGTGAGAAAATTGTTGTTCTTTTGAGTCGGTTAGTTTCCAAAACAGAATTTGTTCCAATGCTTTGTCAAGTTCATATTAACTAGTTCCTGACTAGTAGCATTGGCACTTGTAGATACATACCAAGAGGAGACATCGACTTGCAACAGATCGCCTCAATCAGCTTTTGTACATCCAGTTCAACTCAAGGTTGTTATCCAAGAAGAAAAAGATCAAGCAGAGGAATTACATTGATGTTCTCCTCAGTACTGATGCATCCGAAGCACAAGGCTTCTTGTTCGAGGGAGGAGATGATCATGCTTTCATGGTGCTTCCAGATGGAGATGAGGGAGCAGATGGCATACTTTGGAGTGTGGTTGGAGATGCTATTGAACAACTTGAGCTCTGTCAAAGTGGGAGGGTTAGAGATCTCCATGATGAAGAGTTTGAGTCAGACGAAGAAGAACTAGAGGAGACAGATTCAGAGGAGGACATAGAGTACGAGGATGATGTAGATGAAGTGGTGACTGGGCGCACTTCTGTGGATGAGGACTGATCCATGAAGTCACGAACTGCTGCTTTAACAACTACTGCTTGAGCTGGGGCTGCTGTTTGGTTGCTGCTGCTGCTGTTTGGCTGCAGCTGCCACTTATCTTATACTCCCTCCGTCCCAAAATAAGTCTCAGCTTTGTACTAACTTTAGTGCAAAGTTGTACTAAGGTTGAGACACTGATTTTGGGACAGAGGGAGTATGCTCTAAGACAATCAAAGTTTTAAATAGCGCGCTAAACCTCTTAGCGAGGGACCTTTTATAAACGCTACTATTTAAAACGTTTGTTCATTTGTTTGGACCAAAGACCCTTAGCGCGTGACCTTTTTTAAACGCTATAGCGCACTATTTAAAACCATGAAGACAATATTATGCATTTATGCTTGCTGTGTGAAACACTGAACCTTATCCTTATGTGTTATTTGGCTATTTGTTGTGGTGTGTGAACCACTGAGCCTCAACCTTATATGCTATTTCAGATTTTCAGTTACCTATGTGCTATATTTCCTGTTTTCTTGTGCATATTATTCAAAAACAGCCAAATTCTGGCCAATTTAAAAAAACGCTTAATCCCGGTTAAGCTGCGCTTAAGCAGCCATTGCTCTAAGCTGTGGCCTTCCGCTCCGCTTACGCTTACCGCTTTCTTGAACATTGCTTTTGTCCCAAGCAAGTTGGCTTGTAAGGTGCAAACTGAGATACCCCAGAAGGAAAATAAAATAACACACTCTGTTCTTCCAACAGTTTATACATTGGTGCAAAATAAATTCAGTAAAGCATAAGTTAGTTACCTTTTTTCACTCTAAAATTGGCAAGCTTGACTATTGGCTTCCCTGATTCCATGTGATAATACGTGTTTTCGAGTGAAAAGTTTCCATGGTACTTGCCATCGAGTCTCAATTGTCCCATGCCATCAAGTACTTGGCTGAAATACATTACCTAAATGTGTAAGACGCTTATGAAACATCAGCTGGGTAGATGAGATAGGACTTACTCCACAATTATTTGCAGTACATCTGAAGGAACCACCCATGGAGGAGGACATATGGGATTGCCAAGATTTGATTTCATTTTCCTGAGTAAATCAATCAACCTGCCTGTGTATGGCTCGGTCCAAACTACAAGATGAGCACCCTCTACATTAACCGTCTTCAGTTGCAAGATGTTCTTATGAGCACAGGTTTTCATGAGTGTTAGGCAATGCAGATCATCTGGATCCTTGAGATCCATGACCAATCTGGGAAAGTTCCATTGTACATGATCAAAATTTGGGCCTGAGGGCATCTTCAAGAAGCTCTCAGCCATCATTGTCTCTTCATAATGGCAAGCGTGCAATAGCTGATATTCAAGCGTATGGACCACCTACAAATTCACAACTTGTCAACTATGGATACTGCCCATGAAACTACTTGCACTACACGTTTGACTCCGCTAATCATGAAGATATCTGTACCTCGTTGGTCGTGTCTTCCATTCTGCTCTGCCCTTGTTGTGAATCGAAGACCGTTGTTTAGAATAAAAGAATACACAGGTTGGTCATGGATCTCAAGGATCCAGAATAAAAGAAAGAAGACCTTGTTGTGAATGAAGATATAGTGATTGAAGTGGCTAGTACAGAATAAAAGAAAGAAGCACGACATATCAAATAACATAACTATATACTACCTCCATTCCAAAATACAAGACGTTTTAGTAGGCTAAACTAGCCTACCAAAATGTCTTATATATTGGAATGGAGGCGGTAGAACGCATGGACGCGACGACGTGTGAATACAACAAAGACCAATCAGACTGCGGCTGCAGCTAGCAGCGCTGGAAAGAACCTCCGGATTTACCAACGCAAGGCCAAGGCGTCCAATATCTCCAAACGGCAACATGACAGATGACGGATGCTGCGCTGGAAACAGCAGAACGCATACAGAATCTTTCCATACCATAGTACAATCATAGTTATAATCCCAACCACAAACCCTCCTAATCCCCTATAAAAATCGGATCGCCTGCGACGCATCATGTTCAGAGGCATCCAAACAACTGCCCCGAGCAGACGAAACTTCGTCTGAGACGCATCATGTTCATAGGCATACAAAAAATTACCGAATTTCAGTATATGCATAGCGCTAATTATATCCTTGCAAAAAAGTTGCAAATAATACACTATTATAAGCAAACAGAACAGTTGGGCCAAATTCAGCTCTACCTAGCGTGATATAGTTTTTCTAACCATAATATAGGAAGTAGACCTTTCAACCAGAGCGCTTAACAATAATAACATCATGAGTGGTTTTATAGAAATGTGAAGTACCTTAAAATGAATTTTTCTTGCTGACCAAGCCCTTCTGATTGAGATCCTTGGGACTTAAAACATGAATAGCAACCTCCTTAGCACAATAAGTCCGACGAAACCTTCACATAATATAACCAAACGTGAGTTCAAACAAGCAAATCATACATACAAGAGGTTTGAAAGAAATAGGGTGCCCCCAGAAAAGTAAGAGCAATAAGAGCAAATCATATTCCACTAAAGACCAACCAAGGAAGAGCAAGGAGGGGCAGGAAAAATAACAACATGACCATAAAAGGAAAGGAAGACAACCGGCCATAGGCCACGGTTGGCCCAGCGTAGATGCAGAAGGAAGGCACAAACAAATGGATAAACTATGGGCACAGAGAGCAGGCAACATGCAAAGCACATCAGTTGTATGCGAAGCACAGAAAAGTTGAGATTTTTATTGCATCAGAAGCTAACAGGGTAATAATCATGTCCAATACAGAATGAAAGAAAGGAGCACAACATACCAAATAACATCACTATCATAGTTATAATCTCGAATGCACGGATACTTCACTGACCTCGTGTATCCGTATCGGATAACGTATCCGATACTGATACAGCACTAATACGTGGTGGATACGTATCCTGTGAGTATCCAGAAATAAACGACTTTAAAAAAAATCCGATACCTGTTGGATACTTGGCAGGTGCTTTTTGGATATGGCCCAGCCCACGTAACAAGAGATAACAAGTAACCAGACAACCCTAGTCCCGACGCCCCATCCTTTCCCTCTCTCTCTTTCCTCACGAGCTTCACAGCAGGCGGCTGCTGCTCACCCAACGGCGGCGGCAGGCTGGCGGCGAGCCGACAAGGAGCTGCTCCTCCTTCCTCACTGACTCCCCCTCACCCCAGCCCCTCTCACGCAGCAGCCCAGACATCTCATCGAGCTCGATCCCCGGCGGCAGCCCAATAACACATAAGAGAGCGCGAACAAGCACAGCTTGCTGCCATGGCGTCCAAAATAGGTATAATACGAAAACTCTTGTGCATATCATGTCCATACGGGATTGCAAAACAGTAAGTAGCATTAGGAAATTAAACACACGCACATAATGTTTGAAGAATCCGGAATGCGGCAAGAGCAATCAGTAAACAATCCATGCCCGAAAGACAAACCAGTCAGAAAAGGGAGGACTTACAACTTGACGCAGACGAGCAAGCACACCAGCAAAGGAGAGGCCTTGGGGATCCTTGCAGCCCTGGAAAGCAAAGGAAACAATTGGAAAGCCGAACACATACACACAAGCAAGTAGGGGCAGCATGGAGCCAAGATAGCGCACCTGAATATCGAGTCACAGTCTCGCGGAAGAGGAAGAAGAAGAACAGCAGAACACCACCAATCTTAGGGTTAGCAAGAGCAGCGTAGCCCTGCATGGCAGGCCAAGAAAAAGGATCAGCTAACAGAAGAACTGGATAGGCAAACCGATGCCAAGAAAAACAGCAGTCGATTAAGTACAGGCACAGAGGAAAAGTAAGCCTGCGAGATTCTCGCAATTCCGGAGAGCAAAGAAAAGTATTGCAAAAAGTAAACTAGATGTCGAACACATACAAAGAAGCAATCAAGTGGAGGCAGCACAGGGCGAACAGAGCACAATTGTGTATGCAGTCACGGTCTCGTGAAAGAGGAAGAACCACTGGACACCGATCTTAGAGTTATGAGGAGCAGCGTAGCCCTGCATGACAAGCCAAGAAAGAAGATCATCCAACAGAATAACTGGATAGGCGAACCAATGCCTAGAAAAACAGCAGTCAATTAAGTACAGGCACAGAGGAAAATCAAGCCTGCGAATTCTGGAGAGCATTGCAAAGAGAGTAAACTAGATGTCGAACACATACACGCGAGCAGTCAAGTTGAGTCAGCACGGAGCGAACAGAGCACAATTGAGTATGCGGTCACAGTCTTGCAAAAGGGAAGGTGAGGACGTAGCTCACGAGCATTTCATCGATGTAAGCTACAAAGGAAACGAGGTGAAGGAAAACAAACACGTTAGTTTACAATAATTCCATCAAACATGGCATGCATGCTCGAGGGAAGAAGGTCGTCGTCGACCATCTGAATTTAGAAAAAGAACTCACAGGTCTCGAGAAAGGTGGTGATATCTCGAAGGCAGAACGAGAGTGTGGCGACAGAACGTAAGCTACCTACTAGAAAGCAGGGTAACCAAGAAACACATGTTAACTCACGCGCATTTCACCAAACAGTACATGTGCAATGAGGACCGTAGTTGATCACCTGAGTTTAGCAACAAGACAAGTTAGAGGATGACAAGGCCGGATCAAGCAGGAGCGTCAGTAGCCCTGCAGGGCAAAAGCACACCGGTTATAGAATGCTGATAAGAAAAAGCAACTGCCCTGAGCAGACGAGACTTCATCTGCGGCGCCCAACCGGCACCGTGGGCGCGCAGCTCAAGGTGCTCAACCTCAGCAAGCACAGAGAGACCCAAAAACCCTAGAGTCGAGGCAGCAGGAAGAGCACTTGAATATGCACTAGTCATGGAGTGGGGAAAGGGGAAGGTGAGAGCTCACCGGCATTTCGTCGAACAGGTCAAGTGCGGCGGAGCACGAGAGGGTGCAACCCCGGAGGAAGCAGCAGCACCGGCACCAGGGGGTAGGTGGGTAGCCCTGCACAGCACGGCAAGGAGATGAGCCGGCGAAGGAATCCAATCGAGATAGCAGGGGAGAAGAGGGATGCGGATCGAACAAACCACAAGCCGGCGACGGGAGGAAGCAGCGAAACCTCGGCGCCTCTTGCTCAAGATCCAATTACGCTGCAATGTCGAAGAAGACGAAGAAGGTGATGGATCCTCGCGAGGGGGATTTGGGAGGCAAGGAAGCAGCGCCAGAAGCCGCCGCGCCGCGCCGCTCCGCTCCGCCGCTCACGTCCCGTCGTCCCCTCTCCTCTCCTCTCCCCCGTCTTTTTTTCTTTTCTTTTCAGGATCCTCTCTGCTCTCTCCTCCCTCTTCTCTCTCTCTGCAGAAGCGTGGGCTACCTCCTTCTTCTGACCAGTGCAAGCCCGAAGGTTGCGGCCCACGATCCAATCTGGGCGTAGAAAAACAAGTATATACGGACCCACGAGCACACGGCCCAGATCTTTCCCCTCAAAAAAAAAATATTTGGCACATTACACCTCAGTTCTGGGCCAGCCCATGTTTACTTTTTTTTCCTGTTATAAAACTAAAATATGGTTTGGGAACGAGAGTGACAGGGTTCAAACCCACAAACTCCTTGCTTCCAGTCAACTTCCCTAACCGCTACGCCATCCTCACGCTTATGTATATGTGCTTCTTCTTTTTTTTCATTTCAACATACGGGAAATGTCCCCCTATGTTTTCCTTTTCTGTTTCCTATTTTTTTTCTTAAATTCATGAATTTTTTAAAAACATCAATTTTTTCTAAAAACATTGATGAGCCTTTTCCATTTTTGATGAACTTTTTTTCTAAATCAAGGTATTTTTTTTACATTTTTGGTGAAATTTTTGGGAAAATCATGAACTGTTTTTCAAACCCGATGAAGTTTTTTTCCAAAAATAGATGACCTTTTTAAAATTTGATGAACTTTTCTGAAATTGATGAACTTTTTTCCACGGTCAACTGTCCTTTGTCAATGGTCAATTCGCTGGTCCACAAGTTAATTTTTTTTAAACGCCGATTGGCCGGACCATATATACTGGCACGCGTGTGAGCGTTCGTTCGGTTAGCTGGCGCCAAATAGGGCCTCCCCTAGAACGGAGCCCAGATCCTATTAGGTAGTTTTGCTACATGGTGCACACCCCTCCCAGCACTTACGTGGCAAATGGGTCGGCCCGTGTAGGTTCTTTTCAG